CCATCCACTCTGCCGGCCACAAAACTGTTCCCTATCCAGGAAGCAATCGATTGTGCAGCTTGTTTATGCCACACAGGCACTTTTCAAAACCTTCCTTGCTAGGCACACGCATGCCGGCTTTCAATCCTTTGGAGAGTTTATAGTCCAGGAGAATGCAAAGCAGGAAGCATTTGACAAACAGTTCTGTGGCCCCGTCAAGTTGCACAACCAATATTTTTCTGTACCTGGAACCGGTGACTATAAGCCTGGTAGGGAGAGGTGGGGAGCTGGGGGCACTACAACAGAATTGTAACTGCACCACACACTTAAGCCCCTTATACACGAATGTCAGAGTATTTAGGCCAGTGCAATCTGCAAACTTGGCACGCAGCGCCAGCATATGACAGTTCTCAAATGAACATTTCTTTTTTTGAAATGTTATGTCATTCATGAGTGTTGCCAAACCATTTCTTGGCTCCCGTCGTGGCCTGGCAATATCAGAGGTACAGGGTTCCTTGTGTCTCAGTCGTGTACACTGTCCTAGTGAACCGCAGATGTTTCATAGCATGTGATATCTTAACTTATAATTGTTAGATCATATTGGAGTCATTTTGCTTATAGGTGCCCCCATAAGGTATGTAAAATTCACAGTTCCAGTCGCAGTATGTGTTGGGTACTTTGGGCCTTGTAAGAGGGAAGATTGTGTCCCCCCCCAGGAGTAATCTTCCCACTCTCTGTTCTAGGTGATGTGCAGTTCATCGATTATGAGTATGCTGGATACAATTACCAGGCCTACGATATTGGCAATCACTTCAATGAGTTTGCAGGTAGGAAGAGCTGTTCTGCATGAATCCATTGATGTTTTTATATGCTTTTTTGAAACTGTATTCAGTAATGACACCCCAATCTTATCTGCAGGTGTAAACGAGGTCGATTACAACCTGTACCCGAACCGGGCCTTGCAGCTCCAGTGGTTACGCTCCTACCTGGAGGCCTTCAAAGAATTTAAAGGCTTTTCAGGGGACGTCTCTGAAAAAGAAGTGGAGGTTCTCTATGTACAAGTCAATCAGTTTGCTCTGGTAGGTCTAGTAAGAATTATAAGATGTTGAGCACCGTCAAATGGCTGCAGCTTTTAAAGTTTAATGTTTACTTGGCACTGGAGTATGGCTGCTGGTCCGGTGCCTGTGGGGTAACCGCAGTGCGGAACAGTTGCTGGACTTGACAAGTCGGATGAATCGAGGGTTGTGGTGCAGTGTTTCTTGGTTTGTAATTTAAAGTAGAGCACTGACCAATAAAAAAATGTGACGTATGATGCAGTCTGTCAATACAATTACTGCTTTATTGAAAAGTAAAACCGAAAAATGATTTGGCTTTGGATACACTTGAATCATCTCTTATTGGTATTGCAATTTCTTATTGCAATAATGGATGCATAATGTGGACTTGTGTGGTTGTTTTCACTAAGGGGCTGATTTACAAAGGGTTATGTCCATGAGCCTGAGAAGGAAAGAAGATCCTCTCTGCACTCCTTACCGGGATTCCCATGCAGATATGCAAGCGGATGCTTGAAGTGACCGTGGATGGCGCCGCCAACATGGGCCTATTTGAAGAACGTCCCCAGCACACCAGTTTCTTTACAGCAAGTAAGTGGTCATTTATTGACGTATGCTGTTTCTCGTTTTGCTAAACGACAGTCAACATATGTCAATAGATGACCACTTATTTGCTGTATAGAAACTGCTGTGCTGGGGACGTTCTTCAAATATGTCAATGAACGCATTGCACTCCTTACCATTGGGCCCCTGGAAGTTAGAGGGTGCAGCGTCGACACACGGATGGCGCCATCAACAGTATAAAGATGAAACGCCAGAATTGCTAAAGAACACGTCTTTTATTGACACGAGTGTTAGATCACATTAAAGTGACGGTGCAAGGCCACGCAGGGACCCCTTCATCAGGCTAAACCATGTGAAAGGGTTTACGCAGCAGATATTGCAGGAATTTCCTTTGCTCCTCGGCTACATCTAGTGGCAGTAATGTCATGCAAATAGCAGTCACTAAGCTATAAGCTCCATAGTGTTCAGACCTACTAGTGTGGCCTTATATCATGCAGTCTTATGTTTAATTGTAGTGTATGTTAATGTGAGTTAATCTTGATATTCTCTTTTCTTTTTCTTAAAGGCCTCACACTTCTTCTGGGGTCTCTGGGCTTTGATTCAAGCGAAATATTCCAGAATCGACTTTGACTTCTTGGGGTAAGTAAATGTCTCCTGTGCTGGCTTACATTGGGACTAAGTTGCAGAAAATTAAAAGAAAAGAAAGGATTTTTTGTGTTTTTTCTGTATATATAAATAACAATGAATTAATGTAAGTGTTTTTTTTTCCGTTTGGAAATGGTCTGATGTGTGTTTGCTCATGTTTAAGAGGAAAGTGAAGCAGCTGATCTGCTCAACCAAACCGTGTACGGTGTGTGTAAACATTTACTGAAGTTAGAATGTCTGCAAGTTCTATAGATTATTACCCACTACCTCTAGATAAATGGTAACCCCCCCCTTCCAACCATCATATTTCAGCAGCATGCCTCACCTCAGGGGTGATGGCGATCTGATTGCTCTTACCGGTTATGAAATGCTGAACTGGCTGCCATGCACTCAGGTTATTGACAATCAGATCTGAGATCATCCAGCCCCTTGCTGAGCCATTTTATTGGTTAGCCACTAACTAAATGACATCCTCCCTCTCACATTTAACAGTCACACTGCTCTGCATATCTTATTCAGTTGGTTAGAAAAGAGGTTGTGCTGCCTTAGGGATGGCTGCCGACCAATAAAGTCCTTAATGACCAGACCAACTTTCCAGTATGCAATATGTAAGAACAGATGGTGCAGCCCCCAGCATTACAGTAAGTGTTGCTCCATTGAGAACGGTTCTATTTATGTAGCAGGAGTGGGTGACTTGCAGAAAACATGTTTATGGAGAATCTTTTCAATAAAAACACACTATTGAACTGTGACTTAAAGAAGAACTCGGAGCATATTAAACATTAACCCTTGCAGTGCGAGGGGTAGCCCTGCTGCAAGGGTTAAGTGCTTCTTTTGGTCTATGGGCTAAAACAGATACACTCACCCAATCCTCAGTCCCACGGCAGCGACCGCTCACCTCTCTCGCCATCCGATTCATCTGTGGAATGTCCCTCGTTGTAATGACATCCAATGCAAGTAAATGGCTGGGATGATGTCACAGGTCCTTAGACCACCAAAACTCAAGGAAGAAAAGAGGCATATATTTATTTACTTTATTTTAGCCTCTAGACCAAAACGATCAGTTTACTCTTGCAGGCAGGGGTAGCCCCACTGCAAGCGTTAATGTTTAACCAGTTGCCGTCCGCCCGTAGTAGAAAAACGGACGGAAAAAGTACCGCAGCGCTGAATACTGAAAATGGCCTGGATGGGAAGGGGGTATAACACCGCGGATGTCAACTGGTTAATATGTCCGGAGTAGGGCTGCAGCTAACTATTATTTTCATAATCGATTAGTTACCCGATTTTATTTTTTCAACTAATTGGTTGTATAAAAAAGATATCTCCTTTTCTCTCTCTCTCTCTTTCTCTCTTTTCTCTCTCTCTCTCTCTCTCTCGTTCTTCCTTTTTGTGTTTGTTTGTTTTTTTCTCTCCCCCCTCTCTCTCCCCCCCACCCTCTATCTCTCCCCCCCACTAATCGATAATGAGAATAGTTGCCAACTATTCTCATCAATTTAGTCGATTACTTGTTGCAGCTCTAGTCTGGAGTTCTTCTTAATGAGCATTGATCTTATAGGGACAATGCAACTTTGTGAAATGTGACTCTTTAGTGCTAGAGGTGTGTAATTGGAGGTATTTGCAAGTCTTATGATGTGTGTTTTGGATATTTACCCTCGTCTGCCATTTCTCCTCCAGATACGCCATAGTGCGGCTCAGCCAGTACTTCAAAATGAAATCGGAAGTGATGGCGCTGACCCTTCCCGAATAGCCCGAGCGAAGAGAAAGCAGAGAGCGTTGTTCATTTAGGCTACACACGACATGGCACTTCAAGGACTCTCCTGGGACCAGTCTGTAGTCCCAGGCCTTGCTCCACATTCTCCTATTGCCTTTTTAGACAAAGCCTTTAATCTGAAATTAACTTGTAAGCAAACAACCAGAGGCTTTTATTTAATATTTTATGTAAGTTATTTATAGTGTTGATTCCAATTTGTCTCCTGATACCGTTTGTATATCGTTTACGTCTAACCACAATTCATTTTCTTTTTATTTTTGTCCTCAAATTGCTGATGTCGGAATCCTACTTTCTGATAACATTGTCTGTGGTTCATCATGTTTGCTCTGTCCCCCCCCTCACTGGATACTGTTCTTGGGGCGGCCTGGCCTCCCCACGTACTCACTACATGAAACTTTAATGTGAATCTGTGCTAATGACGCTCGATGGTACATTTTATTCTCATAACTGGAAGTATTCAGTACCTCGTAGCTTCTGTGAGCCAGCAAAGGATTATAGTGTTCTGTACATGGCAACGGCGAGCGCGGTTAACATTGCGTGAATCGGCCGCTGTATCGCCGCTCGTTTTAGACGCACTTTAGAGATGAAAGTGCCCACATGGCCACATGGATGTGGTCGGTCTGTGAAAGCACCTTTTTTTGCAGTGTACCTTAAACATTCAAGAGTCTCTATTTTGTGTCTGACTTACATCCGCTTCGCCCACCCTCCCCTATAGATGGTCATTGGGGAGATGTTGCGAGCTTCTAAATTGCCTTGAATTGTATATATGTAATATAGTCCCAAGGAACCTAGTGAGATGCTATTATAATTGATCTGTTCTTGGATGTATTTGCTATGGATTGTATGAGCTCTTTCGTATCGTGTCTTTTTATCTGCAGACCTGTGTGGCATTTTATGGTGATTGTTGTACGACTTGTCTTTCTACATCTTGGGAGCAAATGTTTGGTGCTACTCGAGTGCACAGACTAGACCAAAAATGTCCATGCTGAATCGCACACAAGTTGCACTATATGGCCAAAAGTTTATAGAACCCTGACCATCACACTTGTATAAGCTTGTTGGACATCCCATTCCTAACCATGGGCATAAATATGGAATTTACCCTCTTTGTGGCTCCATTCTGCTGCAAAGGCTTTCTACAAGATTTTGGAGTGTCTGTGCGGATCTGTGCCCATTTGTGACGTCGGATACCGATGGTGGATGAGAAGACCTGACTTGCAATCTGCATTTTATTATTTCATCCCAGAGATGTTCAGTCGGGTTGAGGTCAGGACTCTGCAGGACACCCAAGTTCCTCCTCACTTTACTGGTCACACCATGTCTTGATGGAGCTGACTTTGTACACAGGGGCATAGTCATCCTGGAGCTTCACCAAACTGTTACCACAATGATGGAAGCGCACAATTGTCTTAAATGCATTTGTGTGTTTGTAGAGTTAACAGCACCCTTTACTGGAGACACCTGAACGCTGTTTTTTGGAGGGAGGTTGGTATAATTTTGGCCATGTAGTGTATTTCAGTGCCCTTATTTCAGGGTGTGTGGCTACTGTGTGTATCTTGTATTGTCTGGTATTTGTGCTGAGAGACGACACCGGGAAGCTGGAACCTCTTTCCTCCCCTCATCAATTGGTTTGCAGCGCGTGTGTACATTTTTACTGTACAGTAGACGGGATGCGAACACTTCTAAATCAGCGTCATTGCACTGGGCCAATTTTTTATTTTTTTTTAGTTCTTCGAACGTTGCATTAACATGGCTGACAGATTTGTAGCTCCGTGAAATACAGGATTGGGAAATTTGTGCAAAAACAAAAAAGAAAGCAACCTCCCAGCATTCCCAGCCAGCATCTAGGATCTTTAGGTCCTCATCAGCCTCCCAGTCCTGACTTCGTTGAAGCAAAGTTATGTTTTCCAACGTCTCGGCTAACGTGTTTTCCTTTGGCAAGAAAATGTTTGCTTTGTGGTAATCGGCTGTCCGATAGGAGCTACCTCCCTAACTCTTCAAAATCTGTTTACTTCTCGTTGGGGTGCCATTGCCTTTTTTTTTTTTTTCCTTTCACTAACGTTCTTTCAATGAAACTGTAAATAAGAATTTTTTTTTCCAGAGTGGGTGTGCTGTGTACAATAATGGGCCATTGGGCCGACTCTGTAAAGAGGACCTGTGTAAACTATATTGTTCTGGCACATGTAGCATATTGTACATACACAGCCAGTGTAAATGACCTTTGTACATTTTAGAAATGGATTGTACACCATCAGGTCTGCTTTGTATAAGCTGCTGTGGCGATGCCAGATTCTACCTGGCCCTCTCCATAGCCTGTTTCCTGCAAACTGTCATTGAATTGTCAGATTATCTGTTATGTTGTAAGTACTTACCAAGGAGCCTCGTCTTAACCAAAAGATTTCAACAAATCGGATCGTTTTTACTGATGAAAGCACTTTACTTATTGTTCTACGCTCGGCAATAAGTGACAGAAATTCTCCTGATGTGTTCCAGTAACGTGCTGGAGGATGAAGAAACAGAACTGTGAATTCTATCTACGCCTGTACATTTCTCTGACTGATCCGAAATAAAGACAGAAATCTATTCCTCCTTCTCTGTGTGCTGAGTACTTGTGTGACGTTTCCAGCCAAACCCCTTATGGCAGGGGTGGGCAACTCTGGTCCTCCAGCTTTGCTTTAACTACCAATGTCTGTCTCCGGGAGTCATGCCTCTAGCTGCCAGTCTTGCAATGCCTCATGGGACTTGTAGTTGCACAACAGCTTGAGTTGTCCACCCCTGCCTTAAGGCATTTGGGATTTAAAGGTGAACTCCAGGCAAACCGCTAAATACACAGATAGAACAGCTCTCATATGTATTTGATCTGCCAAAAGATTTGTAATTCTGTCCATCCAGTCTTGAGACTTCCAAAGCTCAGTCACAGCACTGCCCTGCCTGGCATGGTCAGTGACCTGATGTTTACAGGTTTTGTCCCCAATCTGTAACAGTACAATGAAGGGAGGAGCAGAAGACTAGTGAGCTTGTCTCCCTGCTCTCTTTTCCTATTGGTATGTTCCTTGTTAGCACATGATCACTGCAGCAGAACCTATTGGCTCCTTGTGCTGCTCCCTCTTCCATTGTGAGCTCTGCTGTTTTTCCTGTACAAGAGGCTGATTCCAAGTCAGATTCAGGTACTTGCATTGCTTTCAAAAATAATAGTTTTTTTTTGCATGTATTAAAGAAGAACTCCAGGCAATGTAATTAACCCTTGCTGTGAGGCTACCCCCACACTGCAAGGGTTACCTGCTTGTCTTGGTCTAGGGCTGAAAATAACAGTTATGCTCACCAGATCCTCCGAGCATGCTTGCGCTTGGCCCGGTCCCTGGAGCCTCTCTTCCCCCTCCGCTGCAGCGCTCTAAGGTCCCGGAGTCACCACGTTCTATACACAATGTATAAGACATGAGGACGCCAAGCGAAATTCCATTGTTGCAGTGGAGGAAGAGACGAGCTTCAGGGGGCGTTGTCACAGCCGTCTCACTCAGAGGATCCGGCGACTATAACTTTTGTTATTTTCAGCCGTAGACCAAGATGATCAGTTAACCCTTGCAGTGTGGGTTTTATTAGGGATCATGAATTTTTTTTTACCGGAGTTCTTCCTTAATTAATACAGATCTGCAGTAACTTGTGTCTTATATCTGCCTGGAGTTCCGCTTCAAAGAATAATCTGCTGCTGAAATATTAAAGGAGGCACCAATAAAAAGACATTTCAAGAGGTTATCAGTAGTATAAAATGAAGGTGGTGTGATGGAGAGAGATTTTGTATTCTACTTCATGGGTGACTTTGTTCAGCGGAGGCATAAAGGGAAACTATGGATTGCCATGCAGCAATAGGCCGTGAAACTAAATGTCTGAAATGGTGGCAATCAGAAAACTGATTATTCAAGATCTACTTGTAATAAAAGGAAACTACAGCGGACTACATCAATATACACTGCCTGGCCAACAACGACAAAAGTCTCATACTGTCTAATACAATCACAGGAATTACACCGGCACACCCTTTAGATGATGACATGATGTGACATTTCCACAAAATAAATATATCAATGAAATATTGATATTTGAAATTCTAAAGGGTGTGCCGGTGAAATTCCTGCGATTTACTGCTAGTGTTTGCACAGCGCCATCCGTGCGGTCACCTTGAGTACCACAGATATTGTATGCTGTAAGACCGTAGGAGTGCGAATGGTATTTGGAAACAAGTGTTACACTCTAATATTTCTTTTGATCGCCTTTTGCTTTGATTTACGGCACTCATTCGCCATGGTTTCATTTTGATAAGCTTATATAATTCACAACATTAGAGTTGCATTCATTTTTCACCAAGCTCTTGTAGTGATGATGGGAGAGTTGGACCACTGTGTAATGTCTTCCCCAGCACATCCCAAAGATTCTCAATGGGGTTAAGGTCTGGACTCTGGTGGCCAATCCATGTGTGGCAATGATGTCTCATGCTCCCTGAACCACTCTTTCATAATTTGAGCCCGATGAATCCTGGCATTGCCACCTTGAAAGAAAAAAAAAATCCAGTGATGGAAAAACCTGCTCATGTCATGCAGTACAGGTGAAACTCGAATAATTAGAATATCGTGCAAAGTTCATTTATTTCACTAATGCAACTTAAAAGGTGAAACTAATATATGAGATAGACTCATTACATGCAAAGCAAGATAGTTCAAGCCGTGATTTGTCATAATTGTGATGATTATGGCTTACAGCTCATGAAAACCCCAAGAACCCCAAATCCACAGCCTCAAAAAAGTAGATTATTACATGCAATCAATAAAACAAGGATTGTACATAGAACAATATCGGACCTCTGAAAAGTACAAGCATGCATATGTACTCAGTACTGATATACCGATGCTAGCATCGGAATCGGGCCCGATACAGAGCATTTTCACAAGTACTTGTACTTGTGAAAATGCCCCGATGCCTAGCGCCGAAGCTTGCGCTGTTTTTTTAATTTTTTTTTACCGTCCGTGGGTTCCTTTTTACCGTCCTCTGGGCAGGCTGGAGGAGCGTCGCGTCACTGCTGTGGGCGGCGCTCCAGGTGGGGTCCTAATGTGGTTGGCCAGCGACTGCCCAGAGGACTCCGCCTGTAGCTCTGCCCACAACAGTGACGCTCAGCTCAGCTGCTCAGCGCCGCCGACGTCCGTGGGTTCCTTTTTACCGTCCTCTGGGC